ATTGCAAATCTAAACCTGAAAATAGGAATGCAAATTTTTGCTTGATGCTAGATGGAAAAAATGTAATAGAATTAGAAAGAATGAACAAATCCTAAGCCTTGTACAGTGCTTTCTTATACAGGCTGAGAAGAACAGAACTCATTTGGCTGTAGATAGTCCATAACACCCTCATCTGTCCACCGAAGGAACACCTGACAACATTGTAAGACCCAGAACTGTTGTGACAGAAACCCCTTCGTAAAATCACAGGTTAAATATTTGGTTTTGCTTTTCAGGTTTTATTGGAAGGGTCAAGGGATTTTGGCTAATATTTAACCAAGACAAAGGTCAGAGGTCCTGAAGAAGGGCTTTTACATATATGATATTCTTAAAAGATTGTTTTAGAAATTTAAAAACAAAAGGCAGGTGATAAGTCAATCTCTCCCTGAGCAAGGAAATAAAAGCATATGATTTTAGCCCCCATATAGCTGAAAGAGTCGCATGCTTGTCACTTGGGGAGGGTAGAAGAAACTTCCTGGAGCCCAGGGCTGGTGAGGGTAACATCAGAGACACCTTCTGGCACAAAACTAACCAAGGCTAGGCCACTACTGCCACAGAGGTGGGGAGATGTTTTAGCCTCCCACCTTCTTCCACTGCATTCCAGCTGTTGGATCATGCTGCTGGCTGCATTCCCAGTGTAGCAATGCAGCTCTTTGCTAGCTTCCTGAACAAATCATTGCCTGGGAAATGGTATTCTGAATGGTGCCCACACCACAGCAGGGGAGACAAAAGGCAGATGCTTTATGGGCAGGCCAGAATTATTTTAGTCCACTAAAACACTACTACATACATTTAGGACTGCTCAGGTGCTAAAATAAAAAATTTTAAAATAGTTTTAAATCCCCTAGACCTCATCCTCAAAGCAGGGGCTCCAGGGAACTGAGCTTTGCAGCTAGCATCCACAAAACCTCACAAATCCCTGGAACAGAAAGTCTCTTAAAGGCCAAACCCCTGTGCCATACTGGTGTGACCTTAGCAGGGTGAAGAGCCGAGACAGTGCTAATGAGAGCCCCAAAGAAGGGGGCTCCTTCTACTGAAGCCCTGTTCAGCAGCTTTTAGTCATGGGTCCGAGATGGAATATTCACTTTAATTTCTCTCACATAGATGATCTGTAGGTATGTGCCTGTGCATTTCCCTCAGCCCAGGCCTGTAAATTCCTGTCTATTTACATGGAAGGGATTGTTCACTGGCAGGCAGGATGCAGGGCACATTCCTATGTCCAAATAAAAATAGACTTACAGGTCCGCAGCACATTTTTGTTCTATTAGTCACCTGGAGGCTTGGAAACCTTCTCGTACACCTGTGCAATGTTTTTGTCAAAAAGGTGAAACCTCCCAATGCCTTTTATTTTACTTAGGAGAAGCATAGAGCCCTAAAAATTTTATCTGTTCTAGAAAAACTATTCAGATTTTTTTGGTGAAAAGTGCAATGTCTGTGACAGCCACCCACTTAATAAAATAGGATTTCATTAACTTTTGTAAGAACAATAATTATATAATACATAATTAAGGTAATAGGTAGAGATAATTTCTTGGCTTATTAATGAAATATTTATTAATAACAAAAGTGCAATTATTTACTTGTGAAAGATGACAAATCAATCCAGTATTACAGATTAGATGCTTTTAAATAAAATAACACAGTTTTACAGAATTAGCTGTAGCACAGCCTTTGAAGGATGAAGGTACTTCAGCAGCAAGTTTAAAATGGCAGCATTCACTCTCCTTTCTGTGAAATATTGTTATCACAGAAAAAAATTTCCTATTATTTTTCTTCGAAAAATATTTTTTCCGTAACAGAGTGGGGGAAAGGAGAGAGATTTACTAGCTTGTTAGAGAGGGAGGTTACTAGCACACACCTCTGCATTTTTGGTGCATAATATTCAGCTAGTTCAGAAAATATATAATTGCTTCACTAAATTGTTACATAATTATTCCTCCTCATTTTGATAACCATTTATAACTGCAACAAACATTCACACCTCACCCTTCTCCCAGTGTCTCTTCTACACCTACGCAACCAAGGAAGTCAGAGCCAAAGTAAATATGTTCCAGGCAGTTTTATCAAGAGTATTACACAGCATTTCAAGTGGCTGATGTAAGCAACAAGGAGCAAGGAATAAAGTCTTAATTTCCCAAGTGGCATTTTAAAGCAAAATGGGAACTTCAAGTTCTGTAGCCCGATTTGAATTTATTTTGATTCTCCTACACAGACAGCATGTCTCAGGCATGTGGTGGTACTGCCTGGTATCACTTCCTCTGTCTTTAGTGTACTGGGCCAAACAGAGTGAGTGTGTTTCTGCACCTTGCTGGAGAACTGTTCCAACTGCTCATCAAAGGGCCCTAGCCATGCCTTTGACATAGCAGCATCCTCCAGTTTGTGTCCAGGACCAGGTTCTTTAAAGGGTCATTGATTTTGTATTTGAACTGACATAGATCAATCCCCTCTCCTTGGAAAGAAGAGGCAACAGAGTATTGCCTTTTTTGACTAGAACACATAGGAAGGTTTTAAAAAGTAAGACAAAATGCATTATTACCTGGTGCTGAAATTAATGCTTATTAAAGTGGTAACTCAAGGTGCAAAGTTTTCTATTCATCCAAAGGACCAATACAGGACATGGAACCTTGCTTTCCATCAAGCAGTGTGACATGGAGAATGGCTCAATTCATCTGTTCATGAGCATGACAATGACAGCACTAACATACTATGACAAATTTGGGCATGGCCGTTTGCATGTTATATATCCACACATTAGTAAGAAAGATAATCTGGGAGTATAAGCAACACCGTTTTGACCTAACAAAACAAGCATCTGCCTAACTGAAAAAAACCCTCCCAGCCCAAGCTAGAGGTTTTGGTTGTGTGGCCCTGAATTAATTTTCTGTAAACTTGTGTTTGACAAATCCACAGAGAACAAGGCTGTCTACTTTGTTTTGGGTGAAGCTCTGCATCCTACAAAGGCAGTCCTGCTGGATTATGCTTTCCACAGCTATGTCCTCCAATATAGATCCTACCTTCTCCAAAGCAAAAGGCACATATGTACATCTCTGCATGTGTGATTTTAAAAGCTGTTGGTGATGTGTAACTCATGGGTGTATGACTCAGGAAGTATTTAAATACAGAACTTTCTAACCACAGAACTCTTAAACTGAGAGACTCAGTGGGCCAAGAGAAAGCATGAGCATGTGAAGCTTCTTCACACAAAGTACTCTTCAAATGCAATGTATGTTCAGATTCAAGGGCTACAAAATCATGATGACAAAAGCTGTCACTCAAATTCCAAACAGTATATGCTAAAGTTTCCACAGTTTCACTTTGAAAATAAGTTAAGGTGATGTCTCAGTAATGGCATATACGAATGCCTTTTGCAAATCATATGTTAATCTAGAAACCAATGAGTTTTTCCAAAGCAACCTGCATGGGCTTCTACTGAGGTTTTCTGAGGGACCGTCTACATTTTCCAGTGCTGGATTAGTGCTGTTTGGATAGCTCACTATTACTTTTAGTTTTACACATTACTCAAAAGAACATCAGCTTTAATTTATCATAAGTGCATGGAGAGGCTAGTTATGTATCAGGTCCTGGAGTGGGGAATGAAATACTGAAGGGTGGTTAGAGACCAAATTCCTGAAATTGAGAATGAGAGCTCCAGGTGGTGTCTTCACAGCTGAGAGTAATACACTCCTCAAACTGGAATGTTCTTTGAAACACTTTGGGAAGTGACACAAGCCAGCTGGGCTGCGTGCAGCATAATGGGTGGAGAGGCTGAGAACATTTGGATTTAGGTAGTGAGAGGTCATCATGCACAATGTGATGCAAACCTAATTTTGAACAGAATAAGGCATTGAACAATTGAGGAAGAGCTGAGAAAAGACTGGTATAGCAACTATGCTTAGCACATCCAGACTTGTGGGAGTGAACCAAGTTGGGGTATACTACAGGTTAATCTATGAATAATTAGTTCTGTAAAAATATTCAGGTTCAGATGATCATTAATTCTTGAATGATCTTCAGAAATTGCTTCTTTCCCAAATTATGAATTATATTAATTATAACAACATCTTATATTATAATTATAGTGTGCTTTTCATTCTAACTCATCCTTAGGCCTTTTACTGCACATGCATAATTCATTTTTTCTCTCCTCAGGGCTGAAAACAACACTTAATAAAGAAAAGTGACTGTATTAGCTATTAACAAAGGTGGTCAGATCTCTTTTCTCATTCCTCACCACTTCTCTAGCTTCTTAACCTCCATTGCAATCACTGCCTAGTGGCAGCAATGGGGATGGAAAGGGGAATTGTAATGGGGAATAAGGGAAAAGAACAAGCTCTTGCCATCAAAGTCAGTCTCAATGTCTATCAGTAACCACAGCAGCATTAACTAAATAAAAGTTAAAAAGCTCAAGTATTTTAGAAGATAATTATATGACTCTGAAGTTAGTATGTGATGTCTATACTAAAATTCTACTTCAAAGAGTGTTTGGAATGATGCTCTTGATACAACCAGCTGCATCTTTGGTATTAGACCCCTGGGAATTTAGAGTAACTGTTTCAAAGTAATGCCATATTAATATAACTCTGGTTGCACTGAACCTGCTGGAAACAGAGGCATGTTTTTTAAAGTATGTTTTTACTATTTCGGCTATAATGACAGTAACAATAAAACCTTTATGACAGCACACAGTCATTTAGCATGCCAAAAAGAGCAACAAGATTAAGACTCTGCATTTTGAAATTAAGGTCCAACCTGATGACGCAAATAATTCACAATAGCAATTATAGTATTGTACTCTTAATTTTTCCCATTAGAAATCATTCATCATATTAGACAGTTAATCCTTCTGCCTGGACAAAAGTATTATCTGGGAACTGACAGCAAAGCAAGCATTGAAAGAAAACATTCTTGCCTTTGAGGTGTGAACAACCCTCTCTCTAAGTTTTTCCAACTTCAATACTCACTATTATGCTTGAAGATTCTAATAGTGGCGCCTGAAAGCCTCGCACCAAGAACAAGAGAAGTGTGGTTCAACTCATCACTTAAAATGAGGCAGCCCTGTGGAAAAAAATACAAGCATCTACATGAATTGGAAGGCTGTTGACATGTGTGTGCCAGCATATACACGTGTCTATGATATAGCATTTTGCACCAATTAAGCTGTAAGTATTGAACATGAACTGGATTTTCTGCCACTGTTCTGAAGGTGTCAGGACACACTGCAAAGGCAAGCAGAAACTGTGGGATCAGATTCTCATGCATTCCCAGGTGGTGCATAGGTGCCAAATATTTCCTGCATCGGGAAATCAGTGAATAACCCTAGTAAAGACTGACTGCTTTATAGTAAAATCAAATGATGCTGCTTCCTCTATAATCTGTCTACAGGCTATTTTGAGTTGTAGCGAAAATTCAGTCACCACCTGATATATAAAGACTGTATGACAGTAGTGTAAGGAGGAGTAATACTCAGTCTGGACTGATATCAGGACTTTGGGCTGCAGCAATGGGATAAACTAAAATAGAAAAGCAGGAGAAATAAATTTGTATATTATATTAACTCATAGCTGAAATTCAGGCCTGAACCCTAATTTAGCTCTGCTTTCTATTAAACATCTTGTGCTGTGGTTTTATTACCCAAAGGACAACACAACTTTAAGTAAATACTCATTTTGGAATCATGGATTAAGCCTAGGTTGAGAGGTACTCACACAATCTGCCTAGAGACTGGCATGGAGAACTAACAGTAAGAGTATATGCATCTTGACAAGAAAATTTAGCTGCTAGGCTTAAGTAGAGAGGAAAATACAGGAACAAATCTCCCAAACATAGAGGAGTTACATAATATATATATATCATAATATGGTATAATATTAGTCTATACTGAACTATTAACTATATAAATATATAATACATATCTTTATTTGTACCACTTATGTCTAAATATTCCACCTCTGACAGAGGCTTGAGTCTCCACATGAGGCCAGCTAAGTGAGAGAAAATTATTTTACACCTAAGCAAGGGACAAGTGTCTTACGCTATGATGTATATCTGCAATTCCACAAATTTACCTTCATAATTTCTCTCCATCTGTTCCCTTTGAAACTGCTGGATGAATTCTCCAGCACAACTGCAGATTGAAGTTCATGTTCTAGGCAGCTGAAGCAATTCTCTCTGCCCATCCCTTGTATACATGTATTTTAGAAATCTCTTGCAAAAGCTGGATTCATCTTAAATAGTGACTGAAGAAGTGACTTCACCTCTGTGCTGGCGTTTCAGAGAAGTCTTGATCGTACACTACACAGTGAATTCATTTTATCTCCACCAAGAGGGTAATAACGTTTTGTAATTGCATGACACATTTCATACTGTTCCACACTTGCACGAATTAAAGAGGAGCTATCTGCTTTCCCAGCTAGCAGGAGAGCTTGTGATGTCTGTAGTTGGGATTGACAGGATGATGGATATTCTTGCCTTTGTGTGGAGTACCTCAAATTGGAGACTAAATCCCTTCAGCCCCAAATAAGGACCCAACTTTTGTAATTTGGTCACACCTTTAGACTTGCGTTTGCTGCCAGCTTTCTTTGCAGGGCTGGCTGGAGCTCTGTTCATCAGGAATGCTAAGCACTGTGCTTTTACTTTTCTGAAAAAATTATCCTAATCGTCATCTTGCACCACAGGCAGCTGGGCAATATTTCTGCAAGTAGCCCAAATACTTCATCCCACAACACCTGGACATGGGATGCAACATTCGCTTACTTTTTAGGGAGAAGCAACTTCATTAAGAGAGGCTAAACAGCTCTATCACTGATCCTTAAACAGATGTTAGGTATGTGTGACAGCAACACTCAGAGCTAGCAAAAAAGATGAAGGAGCATATTTAGTTACGAGGCCATCAGACTTATGACTCATGCACTCCTGATACCAAGCTTTGTTCCTCGATCAAGCCTTTCCACTTATTGAGAGCCCAGAATACTGGTATGGTAGTAAAAACAATAAATTGTGTTCCTTAAGGAAGTACTCACCTTTCCAACAAGGGCTGGAATATTCATTGAGTTAGTTGCAAAGCCCATGCCAAACACCATAGCATCTTCCACACCAAGGAACTTGGCCACAAGTTTCTCTAGTTCTACATGTTTGTCTAAGGTGCCTGCAGAAATAAGTACAGGGAATAATAAATCTCATTAAACTGTGGAAGTTATTAATTCTAAAGGTACAAAACATACAAAAGAACAGACTAGAAGTGTGTCATTAAGCTATATGACATTAAGTTCTAATGAAGGTTTTCCATTTGTATCCTGTGCATGTGGGATAATGCAAGAGAAAGCAAGGGTACAAAACAGCTATGACTAATGATAAAAAAGACTGTTGCTGTTAATGTAGCAAAGCAGTTGCTGTGGGAAAAAAATTCCTTTTTCCGTAAGTTTACTTTGAAGAGTAAATTTTTGTCTTTTTCTCCTCCCTGCTATGAGGACAAAAATACCTCCTTTTTATAGGAAATGTGGGACAAACATATTAGGCATTCTTGAGTTCTCTCTGGACGTGAAAGCAAAAACCTGTAACAACAAAATTTTTCCATTTTTTAATCAGTGCCTATATATGTGTACAGACTCCTTAATTATGATTTCACATGGATAGACATCTTTTTTTCTGCTTTGGAAGGTAAAAGCTATGCCTCTCTCCATAACTCACAACTCTCCTCTTTCCTTCTTCTCAACAGTAAACAGAAATAATAAGGTAACACTAGAGAGCCTTCTTTATTTCATGTTAATTATCTAATATTAGTGCCTGAAGTTGGTAAATAAATAAGCTGCTCCAGCTATCAAAAAAAAGCAATATCTTTCCCACCCAACTCACAGTGGAGGATGACAAAATATGAAAGGCAACAAACAAAAGATTGGTGTTAAGAGACTGAGATAACAAATAACTTTGAACAGTAATGAATCATCTCAACTTGCCAGCTCTCTAGTCTTTGGTTGCCTGGCTGTGCATTGCAGGTACCAAGGCAGAAGGAACTCTTACAGGATGATCTGTGGGGAAGAAAAGAGAGTGGCCTGTGGATTCTGACAGAGCATTTCCCCTGTGAATAAGTCTGTAATCAGGGAGGAGAAGAAAAAAATCAGGCAAGTGAATATCTCACCTCACTTGCACTCCACAAACTGATGTCGCAATGATATAGGCAAAGCAAGTTACAGTTGATGGGAACAAGGAAGATGTATTCACTGTGATGGACAAAGGGCAGATGAATGGAGGAAATCAGAAGCTTGGCTAGAGTGCCTCAACAAGAATGATGAGTCAGGAAGATGATCTTACCTTCATCATGGAGGAGAGCTCATTAAAAATAATCAAATATAAATGGCAAGAAAACAGTTTCAGCAACAGCAGTAACTCAGCTGGTTACAGTGAAGGAGTTTTAAATTTTTTCCCCTCAATAAATATCTAAAATAAGACCAACATCCACTTGGATCATGTGGCTTCTGGAAAAACCTGGATTACATGGATAGTAAAGAACAACAGTGCTGATTTTGCACAGAGCCTGCCTGGGTTCTGCCAGACCTGAGCCAATTCTGTCACAGCTTCAAGAGTGTCTCTGCATGCCTTGTATCCCACTGGATATACATGCAGCTGGGTTGTGAGGTAATGTGGCACAGAAAATTTGGCCCTGCAGAACCTCTGGTAGATGTGAGATAACTCTACATGAAGCTCTTTGAGGATGGCTACATTTTGCATTGGTGGATCCCAAGATACACAAAGATATGTGTTGGCTTTACACACAGCCACTGCTTAGTAGCCAAACTCCATGAAACATAAAAACCACATAGTGTTTCAGAGCTGAGCTGCTCACTGGAAATGTGGGAGAGAACCTATGCCTTAACTTGTAAGCCTAGTAGGCCTCAGCATGTATTTCTACTTTAAGTTCTCTACTTTTTTTTGCATCTTGGGCCCACTTAGTCTTCAGCCTGGTTACAGCACTCATTGATAACTAAGGGTTCCAGCATGGTCAGCAGCCCTACAGTTCCCTGCAGATGTTATTTTGTCAGCTGAGGATTATCAGTACACAAAAAGATGACGAAGTGTGAAATGAAGGCTTGAAGCCAACCACACTATGGGCACAGGTTGAACTAGGAGAAGGTTTGTGAAAACACAAGGAACAAGCAGTGTGTGCTTTGCAAGACAAGCATTTTAAGGCATGACACAACTGTCCCCAACTCTTCCAGGGGTAAATCTGACATTACTGGGGTGGAGTTAAATTGCTTTTTGGGGTTGCATCATCTGTTTTTACAAACAAGAAAACAAGAAAAGCCTGACTTGCTACAGATTGTTCTGTACAAGCATCTCTTAGATGAACCACAAAGGAACATCACATTTTGAACACATTTTTATTGATTTTGTCATGGTGAAGAATGAGACATTCTGAAAGTGATTGATTCCTACTTATTATTTACTAACCCCAAGAGTGAATGAAGATGATATTGTATATCGATATTGCCTACAAGTCCTGGAATACAAATTGGAATCAATGGGGGTTCAGTTTGCAAAACAAAAACCTGAATGACAAGAATTTGCAAAATGAGGCCTGGTTTTGGATTACATTAATTATCGTGGCAATATTGTAGGTGGTAGGTGAGGTGTTGCAGAAGCAGTACAAGCACATTGGTACTGACAGTGGGAGGTTCATGACAGCTGTGTACATTGAGTAGAGATGATAAAGAATATCAGCTTTCATTTTCCCAGGTTAAGAGTAAAAGGAGTATTTAATTAATAAATGATGCAATTATTTAGTCACATCAGAAGAATTCTCCAGTATTGATTGGTTCTTGGACAGTGTATAAATAGCACAAATTATATCGCTTCTCTCCACTGGAGGAAACAAGGGGTCAGATACGCTCTGCTGTATTGAGGTTTGTCCACTGTAATTCCCAGCTGGTCACAGCAACCACTGCAACAAGCATAAACAGGACTGACAGACAGATGCAAACTTGATCCAAAGGAACTGGCACAAGCTGAAACATCTTAACTTCTCAGAAGAAAGGCAGTAATTAGACTGCACTTCATTAAATACAACCTAAGAAGTGTCAAGTCAGGTCATCATGGCCTTTAAAATGTCTTGTAATGTGCTACATTCAAGACCAGCATTGTGATCTGATGAATGACAAGTGATGTATTAGGTACAATTTTATTAATACACTGTATACACAGATACCTTCTACACTTGCCCTATACATAGACATTAGAATTTTTCACCATACTTTTACCTGCTCTGATTTTTATGCTGACTACAGCTTGGTTTTACCCAAGAAATGAGGATACAACTAAATAATATACACCATCTTACCAGGAAAGATTTAAGACACCCCTCCCCCCAAAAAAAGAGAAAGGCACCTGCATCCATAAGAGACAAAATGAAATCCTTTTTAAAGTTGTTCCTCCCTTCTGAACAGCTGCATGCCATACAGTACAGCAGGAGTTACTGTGATTTGAGACTTATAGGTATTAAAATCGAAGATCTTATCTAAAATGGACTTTCACAATAGTAGCCACCTCCACAGATTCCCACACTTCTCACAGCAAATCCCCTCCTTTTAAAAATCTGATGACCCAGTTCCCTCCATTAACTTGCCACTGCACTTTGGTGACAGGGAACATGAAGCACACTGTTTTATCAGGTTTTTTATTTGGCTTACCATTGGGCTGAAAGTCACTGTCAGTCTACTAGACAGAGCCTGAAAATGCACTTCCCATAATCCAAGCAGTCGTTATTTAGCTTTGACACTTTCAGCTTGGACAAGGTGGTTTATGCCACTGGCTAGTCTGCCCAATAGAGTCTTTCAGGTTCTTATGCACTAATGACAAGGAGTGGTTAAACTGGCAACACTGGCAACAGTATCCTGTAATAGAATTTTAGGTCTGGAATTCTGAGGCCCAAAGAAGACAGAAGAATACCTGCTCACTTCCAGTTAAACAAAAGCTGAAGGAGTAAACTGATATAAGCAACAAGTCATTGAAAGAAAAAAGAACACTTGGGAATCCTATGCAACCCTGCTGTGACTCACTAAGGTGAATAAGAAACATTATACTATGAAAATGAATGTTTATTAGAAGCATTCTGAGGAGGGTTGGGAAAAGAGCAGAGCACCTAAACTTCTGTGTCACATTTGAAACTTAAGGTTACAAACTCACTCTGGTAAGATATTTGTCAGAGCTAAAAAATAGTATTATCAAAACACATACACACTTTTACAAAAGTGAGATCGGATGAGTTATTAATAGAAGGATGAAGAAACAGAAGATGTAGGAATAGAATTATTTATTTACACCATGCTACCACAGTGGATGATGCAGAAGGTATCACTGTCCTATAAAGCCCACTACCACAGCGAAGTCTAAACTTGTACAATAAGACATATTGGCAAGAGAGGGAAAGAAACACACTGCCATATTATGTAACTGCCTCATTTAACAGTGCATGTGCATAAAAGAGCCTCAAGTTATAGAAAGGAAATACTCAAGTTTTCTTAGCATTGCCACCAGCTGATAGGGCTTTCACACCACAAAGATGCTGCAGGTGTCATAGAGGTAATCATGTACTTGTGTAATTTACTGATTCTCAGAAAAAAATTAGATTCATTTTAACAAAACTTCCAGTTTAATTTAGATCTTCCGATTTTGTTTCCTCTTTTCCTCTTAGAAAAATACAAGCTTAAAACCTACAGTTTAAGTCTAGCTTCTTCATGCCAAAGCTTGAATCTCTGTACCTTAAGTATCTAAATATTTACATGTACATAGATAACATCATATATTGGAGCTATTTTAGGTTTTAAACAAGTCACACAACCCTCAGTTACTCTGGTCACCGTCAGTTCCACCTGCCAGAAGATGGACTATCCAGAACTTAATCTTGCTTTGCAGAGCATACTTGTGCAATTGTGAAATACAAGGAACAAACCTGACCCTTTGATCCTAAGTTGGATTAGTTATTTATGAGATGGTAGGCACGAAAAGGAAAACTATATTAGTAGGAGATGATAAAAGAAAATTCCTCTCATGACTTGTTTCCTAATTTATACCATACCCTATCAGAAAGTAGCCAAGGTTATGAAATATATTTATACACACACACACACAAAGTATAATTAATGTGGCTGTATT